TGGAAAAGATGCTATGGAAGCCTTTCTTTTCCTTTTCACAGGTCTGTTGTTATCTGTGCTTACTTCCTAAGCTCTAGTCAGTGGTGGAATCACCTCTCTCAGATCTTGTATTCCTTGAGGACACAGTGTATTTCTTGTTTAAGTAGTTTATATGGTCTTATCATACTGTACCCTGCATGGGGACCTGATTATTCATTTTGGCTGGTAATGGAAGGGCTTTTCTGCTACTTCTGTCCCCCTTGATGACTTCGTTATCTGTTCTCCTGTAGTACTGACTGTGAATTCATTTCATTACATAACGAAATTTTATCTTCCATTGCTTATTTTGTGCAGTAGTCTTGTCTCTCTAACTGGAGAGGAACTCAAGGTTCTTTCTGAACCTTAGAGTACAGGCTCATAGTGGGTATACTATTACCATCATTGATTGTTGTTGATCAGTACTTGTCTCTTTCAGGTGAGTGAACCAACACTTTATTTTTCCAGTGTTTTATTTTTCTGGATTACAGACTATATCTTAGGTTCAATTTGTTTTAGGATGTGGCGTGATTATACTGCTGGAAGGTCCAAGGGAACAGTATAGTCAGTAAGGGATAAATTCTTTGTGAGTTCTTAAATCTTCCGTTGTAAGGAAATTTGTACAGAATACTGGTTTTCTTCATCTTGACAGTTCTTCAGAGAATTGTGTTGATTGTTCATGGCATAAACACCATCCATTAATTGCCCTTTCAAATTTCATTGACATTTTCTTTCTTACTTGGTGGTCATTTCCTCAAAAATTTAGTTGTCCACTCCAAGACAATTACTATGTACTTAACAAAAGAGAATGACAAAGCCAAGTTCAGCTGTTGTTGCTCGGTTGGGAGATTTCTAGCTCCTCCCACAATGGGCAATAATCAGATCTGTGTCTCAGCAAAATTATAAATGGCTGCATTTCATAGCCTTCTTTAGGAATTGCTTTGCTTGAAATACTTCAAACTGCTGATGTACTGTGCACTGTTTTCTCTTTTGCAGTCTACTCTCAATAGCACCAATTGGAGATAACTGTTGAATAAATGCTGTCACTTGTGACATGTGGTCACTGTCAGCATTTAGGAGCCCCTGATGTCCACCAGTCTAACAACTCTCGCTGGGCTTGCTTCCCTATAATGATTTGGATTGCTTTTCTAGGAATCCTTCATATCTTGGTAGGGTGTGGAGGCTTACACCTGTAATCTCAACTACCTGGGAGGCTGAGGTGAGTGGATCACTTGAGGCCAGGAGTTTGAGACTAACCTGGGCAATGTGAGATCAACAAAAAAGTTATCTGGGTGCAGTGACATACACCTGTAGTCCCTGTTACTTTGGAGGCTAAGGGTGGTAGATCACTGGAGCCCATGAGTTTGAGATCAGCCTGGGCAACATAGGGAGATCCCATCTCAAAAAAAGGAAATCATTCCCATTTTGGCTCCTCTCTTGTGTTTCCTCCACCCACCAAATTCATAGTTGTTGACACTTATAGAAAATACAATCCAAAGGCTTGCAGTCAAAAAAATAAATCCCTATCTTTCTATGCATAGTGAGTACCAGCTGTAAGCAAATTAATCTCAACAGTTCCCACGTGTTCCTGGGGAGGACTCTAACAGTGGCAAACACTATTCTCTTTGGGGCTTGTTGATGTTTCTCAGAATTTCATTTTCCAGTGACACCATAATAAATGGGGAGACAGGAGGGAAGGAGATGGAAGTATTGCTGGCAGAGTGGGGGTGGAGACCATAACACACATGTGGTCACATACACATCTGTAGTTTACTCCACGTGGATTTTCACAAAGCACAATAGTGTTGTAGGTGTCCTCCACTGGGCAGTCAGCACTTTCTGTCCTCATGTGTGAAACTTCCCATACCTTTGATGTTACATTCAAGTTCATTAGTGGCTTGTATGGCATGTCCAAGAATTACCTCACTTGGTTCCTGTTTCAACTCTGAAATGAGTTTAGGGTGGATTTGAAATGTCACCTTTGTCCCTGCTTTCTAAGAGTCAGTAAAGAATTGCCATGATAATTAATCCTATAATGCCTTTAATGAAGAGGTAGATCATATATACTCACTAGTCTACACTTTATCATTCATCTGATCTATTAGTTTTATTCCTTGTTGACAGCCAAAATGTAGGATCATAGACCCACAGTTACATGGATGGTGACAGACCTGGATTGATGTTGAGAATTGTGCATATTTTGTCATAGTTCTTGTCTTGATTTATATTAATAGCATTTCTGGGTTCTACATCTTTTCTGCATAGTAGTGGTTCTCAATATGTGGTTTTTAGACCAGCAAAGTCACCTGGGAACTTGTTCAAATATCCAAGGTTCTATTCTGATTTCCTGAATCAGAAACCTTTGGGTGAGAGGGGAGGTGTAAGACACAGCAATCTGTGTCTTAACAAGCTCTCTTTTGATTCCGATGCATGCTCAAGTTTAAGAATCACTGTATATATGTTGTTTTTCTTTTAGTCTCTTGAGCTTGCAGTATTTGATACCTTAACTTTGATATGAGGGAGGATAGTTATGTCTTCCTTTAAACTCTTCTTTGTTGCTGTTGTTTGTCAGATGCAGAACACTGATGTGAGAATGGACTGTGAATATGATCCACTGTGACAGTGTTTATGGTTTCAGCCCAGTGCCTTGTTGACTTAAGTAACAGCCTTGGTAATAGGAGATAAATCTACAAAGAGAATGTGGGGTTACATGGCAAAGCTTTCAAAACACACTGACCTTACATTTGTGGCAAGTGTTTTGCTCAATGTTGGCATTTTGCCCCCTGCCTAGAAATTTCCTTGTGAGAACTACATTTACTTTAGAAGACTGCCATGGTGGCATATAGTTGGAAAGAGGAGACAAATAATATGGCAAGGCAGGCTTTCTTTGTATTTGTTGCTCAGAAGAAAACAAATCAAATGAGAAGTGAAAGAGGCTTTATATGCTGAATTAGGTAAATGATCTAGATAGAGTGGTACAGGAACAAAAAAATGTGACTGTAAAAAAAATACCAAACTGCTTGGACAGGAAGATGTGAGCAAGTTGTGGGTGAAAAAGGGGTAGGAAAATGACACAGTGAAAATGCAAATTCTTCTGGAAGATTTTTGCAAATCTGTGTAAAGAAGAAACCAGGTAACCCAGATCACTTCACCTAAGGATGGGAATTGTCTTAAAAATTTCAGTAGCAAGGAACTCTTTCCTTCAGAGACAAGTGTAGGAAGCAGAACCAACTTTTGTTTCCCTATGTATATGCCCCCAGTGAGCAATAAGTTAATACTGGATGATAGTAGTTGAGCAGTAGGGACAGGAAGTTTTCTTTTTCCTGACTGAATCCTACTCCAAGGTCTTTTTTCACCAGCTTTACAACTACAGAAGAAAGACTAGAGAAGGATATGAGAACAAAACTCAAAAGTTTTCTTCTTAGGATATCTAGGTAAAGATTTAGTTAGGAAATAATATGGAAATGGAATATGATAATAACTTATGTTTATTGAGTGCTTCCATGTATGGGGTATTATCCTAAGGGCTTTACACCTATTGAACCATCTACTCCTTAGGCTCTTTTATCCCCATTTTATAGTTGAGGAAACTGAGACACAGGGACGTATGTTAAGCAGTCTGACCAAGGTTATACAGTTAGCAGATGAGATTTGAACCCCCTACCATTTTCATTTTGGAGCTTTGCCTTTAGCTATCATACTCTACTCATAGTCTTTTTCTTCCCTGTGATTCCAAGTTAAAGAATTATTGATTAGCTTTTTACTATGATAAAAGTACTTGTCAGACCCTTCAGATTTGATCCTGGGCAAAGAGGTCTCTGCCCTTCCTTGGAGACCTACTCTTTTTGTATTTAAAATCTGAGTATAAATTTTAGCTAGAAATTTAAAACATGTACAGCAAATGTTGGCCAACTTGCTCTTTTAAAGTTTAGTTTCCTGAACTTCATGTTGCCTCCCTAAACTTAAAACAGGGTAGTGGTTGCACAGCAGTATCAGGGGAATGAAATGAATCTTAAGCCTGATGAGTTTGAATAAGATAAGTACAATCTAATTTTGCTTTTAGTAATTTTTTCAAGATCATGCAGAATTGTAAACATCTGGATTGTATCACTATGGTTATTTAGTTTTTACTGCGTATAATTAAGATTGAGATTTAAATTAGTTATATATGACTATGTAACAAATTGCCCCAGAACTTACCATCTTAAAACAACAAACATTTACTATCTTAGTTTCTGTGGGTTAGGAATTCCTTAGTGAAATTCTCTTGGTGGTTTTTGCTCAGCTTCTTTTTTGAGATTGCAGTGGAAATGTTGGCTGGGGCCACTGTCATCTGAATTGTTGACTTGGGCTGGAGGGTCCACTTCTAAGAAGGATCACTCACATGACTTTTGGCAAGAGGCCTTGGTTTCTCTCTACATAGACCACACGACATGACAAAGTGACTGATTGAAGAGAAAGAGAAATGACCTAATCTTGTAAGTCACACACTGTCACTTCTGCTACATTCTATAATATTAGTCAGAAGCGAATCACCAAGGACAGCCTGCATTTAAGAGGAGAAGAATTAGGCTCCACGTTTTGAAAGGAGGTGTATTAAAGAATTTGTGGGCATACCGTGTTTCTCCGAAAATAAGACCTACCCATAAAATAAGCCCTAGCAGGATTTCTAAGCATTTGCGCAATATAAGCCCTACCCCGAAAATAAGACCTAGTGATGGGTGTGGCTGCGCAGTGTATCTGGACCACTCATGCATTTCCTCGCGGAGCTGTAAAGAAGATGAGCGGCCCTTCTCATCTGCCCCATGAGAGCTCTATTGCTCGACATGAGAGATTGGGACCAATGGTTCTAAAGGAAATAGAGTCACAAGAAATTCAGGATGGAATTCAGGGTTTGGAGAGTTATGATGATGTTCCAGAAGAAGACGACTTAACTATCCTATATTTGAATAAATGTAAATTGTTGTACCGTACTTAAAAAAAAAATAACATATCCCCTAAACATAAGCCCACGGGAGTCTTCTTGAGGAAAAATAAATATAAGACCCTGTCTGTCTTAGTTTTGGGGAAACAGAGTATTTTAACCACTACACTAGGCCTAACCCCACACCTATTAAATCAGACTCTCTGGGTGTGGTAATCTACATTTTTAAAGAGTCTCCGAAATGATTTTTATGCACATTTAAAATAGAGAACCACTGACTAGTCAGGTGTTACCCTGTTGAGTGATCCACCCTGGGAGTAAATGATTACTCTCATGGCACTGTCATACTTTATTTAAAAAGCCAAACATTTCTTTCATATATTTCTTAGTGTTCTGAATATGTAAAGTTTATATTTAGGCACTAACTTGTGTGCTAACTAGGTAATATAATAAACCATTTCCTTAGATTGTACTTTATCTGGATGGGCCTTTAGCATTTTTTTTCTTCTCTTCCTCATTCAGGCAGATAAGCCCCATTCTGATTTAGTCTGTGGTGTCTAACTGGCTACTCTTAGTGTATATAGTCAGGGTAGGAACTGTAGCTCCCAATTAGAAATGAAGTTATGTGGCTGAGCAGGGCAGGGCAAAAGGGTTTCCTGGTATTTTTGTTTCAAGATCCAGGGTGAACTGGGCAAAGGTCTGATGATTATCTTTAGCTTTGGGGTCCTGCAGCTGTACACTTTGTTAGGAGAGAGAAGAGATACAGAACCAGGAGTTTGCAAAGACCAGTCGGTTGCCTCCTGGACCCCATCTAACCTGGACACCAACACCCTTCCAGTGTTAAATGACAGACTCTTGGCTCTGTGTGGCATTCACTTCTGCTATCTTCCTGAAGCTTTTGGTGGGGAATCAGGCCTCCTTTTCTATTATTGCTATTTTTTCAATTTTTTATTTATTTTTTCTTTTTTTCTATTTTTAAGTTAAGCTTAGAGATGTATATTTTCTTATCTTCCTATCAAAATTACCTCTTAGCCCTCTGAATTCTTTCCTATAAGGAATGCGGCTGATTATTTCAGAATGGAGGAATCACATCATGGAAATAGAATACCTATTCCCCTTCAAATTTATGTACCACCTACCTATACAATTCCATTCCCACCTCAGCCAAAATAAGATAGATAAATACTCATGCTCAGAATGTGGGTCTCACATTTCATTTGAAATTTCATTATTAGTAGAAGCACAGAGAGTGAGGGGATAAAACCCTAGAGAGGAAGTAACACAATGTTGCCTGCCTGTAAAGAAAGACAATCTCAGCATGAGAGAGCATTGCACCCAGAGTATGTGATCACCTACTGGAACGACCATGTGACACAGCTGACATGCCCCAATAGGTACAACAGATTGTTCTGCTTGTAATGAATCAATACTACAATTAACAAATATTTATTGAACACCTAGGAAGCAGCCTGGTTCACATTGCCCTCATCAGCGATTTGTTAGAATAATGTAAAACCTTCTGACTCCTGTTTTTGCTTTCAGGATTGCCTCTGCCCCAATAAAATCAATTCTGTACATCAGAACAAGAGTGAATTTTCCTAAAATACACAAATGTGGCCAGATCACTTACCTACTTAGCATGCTCTAGGTGATATTCAGCATCCAGATAAAGCTTACATTCCCTAGCATGACCTAAAAGGTAAGTCATAGTCTGACCCTACCTGATTCTGCTTCCCTACTGCTGCTGCTCCACACATTCCAACCTCTTGACATACTCCACTCCATGTGTCCCCACCATGCCCACCTCTCTTGTCATGCCCACTTTTCTGTGCCACAGAACAGTGGCTAAGAGTTCTGGCTTCAGAGCACAGAAGACTTTTACTCAAACCCCAGCTCTATGACTTAATAATTATATGGTCTTTGACAAATTACGGATGTTTCTGAGCCTCAGGTTCCTTATATACAAAAATAAACCACCAGCCTCATAGGATTCTTCTGAGGATTAACTGTGATCATATTTAAAATGCTTAGCATAGTGCCTGGCCCATAATTAAGACTGAGTAAATATTGCTGTTGCTGTATTGATGTATGGAAAGCCCCTGGCACATAGTAGCTATTTGTTAAAGGAAAGGCCCTTTCTTCCCTGAGCCTCAGTCTTTTCTGAGAGGATTGATCATGAGAAATCCTAACTCTGACATTCAGAGTCTGATATGGGGCTAGGGATGATATTGTTGTGGATAGAGAAGTAGGGTTTAAGAGAGAAAAAGAAAGTAGTAGATTAAAGGAGCATATAGATGTAAAAAGGATTGTGTTTTTACCTGTGATCTTTACTCCATTTGAATATGAATAATATTCTTCATGAGGCAGGAAAAAATGGTGGGCTGGGATACAGAAGCAACTTACATTCTGACCTTGAGTAAATCACTACTTTCTGAGCCTTTATTAGTTTATCTGTAAAATGGGCTGCTTGTCAGATCCTGTATTTGAGAGCTTTTTGAAGACTAGAAATCATACTCTGAAACAAGATGAGAGTATTATTCTCCCAATTCCACAATTCATAGAGTGGTTAAAAAATGTTTTGAAAGCAACATTTTTATATTTACATACAACTGATACTGAAGCATACATCCCCTAGAAATGGAGGTTGGCAGGAGGACAGAGAAAATTGTGAATACTAGAAGTGTCTCTGATCTTCGCCCTTGTTCCTTCTATATCTTTCATTTGAAGAGAGCTTAGCTTTCCAAGAGGTTCTGTGGCCAGAGTGTGTTTATTCCACAGCATTCTCCACACTGTTGACTGAGTTACCATCATACAAGAGAAATCTGAAGGGCCTCATGAGAGGAATACAACTTCTGGACACTTGGAATCAGGAAGAATAGTTTGAAATCTAGAACAAATTAAATCTTGACCTAATAGTTTTCTTGTCTGGGGCTCATTTTGGCTACCATATTATATCACTGTGAGGTTTAAGAGATATGTGTGTATATTCCAGTCCAAGTCTGGCATGTAATTGACACAGGACAGTCTTTTCTTTTCCTTCTTAGACACCTGAAATAGTTCCCCAGTGTCCCCTGAGTGTCTCAATCCAAAGTCTTAAGTCCAGAAGGAGCTTCCACAGACTGGCTCCAAGCTTCCCTTTCTGATCTTATTTCTATCCTATTACCTTTGTGCTCCCCCTCCCATCCATAATAATTATTCTCCAGGCTCAAGGTCCTTCAGGTGATTTTTCAGTTAATTACAGCCTTAGCTTTTCCTATCTTTTGTACAAACCTTGCTGTACCTGCTATTAGTGATATCTTACCCAGGCCTATGGGACTTGAAAGTCCTGTTCCCATCAGAGCTTTTCCCTACACCATCAGGTGGGAGCAATCCTTCATTCCCTGTTTTACCCAATGCAAGTTGTTTTACTTCTATTATTGCTCTTATAACAGTCTGCCTTATAGCACAGTCATCAGAGCTCCTGGAGGGCAAAGACTGTGTTTTATTCTGTGCTGTATTTTCCCACCCCCACAGTGCCTGGTACAGTAGGGGTTTAGTAAATACTGCTTGAATCAATGCATGAATGAAATTGCCTCGCCTAGTCCTGTTTGCAACACTGTAATGCAGACCAGGTGAATATAGAATTTTGTCTCACTGGATTTAGTTTAGCATAGGAAGGGAGTTTTCCAAGAAGCAATAGTGGCTTTGGAAATAGAAATTGCCTTTAATCTTGTCTAAAACACATGCCAGCCCTCTCCATAATAGTCTCAATTACAGGAGAGCATCATATTACTGTAAAAACACAAAGAAATAAACCCATGACAATACTGTGTTTGGGAGATAAAACCACATAAAAGCCATCTTTCGCCAACTCTCCAGCATGATAATTAGGGTATTTCTGGGAGGAAAAAAAAGATGCCAGTAAAAAACAAGTGATATTGTACTTAAAAACACTTTTTGCTATTGGCAAGATGGGAGTAGTGGGTTAGGTTTTCCATTCATCACAAATATATGAGTTCCTCCCTAACTTCTGCCAGATTTGATGCTATATAGACTGCATTGCATGATAAATGTGGGCACTAGGGTTGCCAAAGATGGTGACAGTACCTGGAGGGCAGAAAATGTCACCCAGAAGGTGGTTATGTGAGATTTATCTATTCTGCCACACTTTACCTAAACATGTCGTACTATATTCTTCTGAGTGCTGGGTCTTCACTGGCTCAGGGATGCCCTTGGTGAATGCATTGCTGTGGGCCACAGCTTTCAACTGGATTTTGTTTATTGCTGATCATTCAAGCATCTGCCTGGCTCTTTTTAACGCCAAGGCTCTGGATCCAGGTTCTTTTGAGGCAATAGTAGGAATGCTTTTGAGATAATGCCCACTTTGTCAGTTAACAACCACTGAGAGCTAAAACCAGACTGAATGAAATCCAGCCATATCTGAACACTTCCATTACCACCACCCTGGTCTGGACTGCCTCAGCAGCCTCCCACCTGACCTCTCTGCTCCTACTCTGCCTCCCTGCAGAGTGTTCTTCACTCAGCAGCCAGAGTGGCCCTTTTAAAATGTACTTTAGATCATATCATTCCTCAGCTCAGAATCCTCCAGAGTGCCTCCCATTTTGCTAAGAATGCAATTCAAAGACCTTACTTACCATGGCCTATAAGCACTGCACAGTCTGGTGCCTGCTATCTCTCATCTCATCTCTTGCTAGCCCCCTAGATTAATCCTCTCTGACCCTTGAGCTTTCTTTCTGTTCTTAAAGCAAGCCAAGCATTTCCCAACTTACAGCCTTTGCATTATTGTTCTCTTATCTTGGAACATTGTGTCCCCAGATGTAAATGTGGCTCCTACCCTCACTTCAAGCCCCTTCTTAAATGCCACCTTGTTGGGGAGGTCACCTGTGTACCCAGTGCTAGAACATTACCTGGCATGTGGCAAGCACTTAGAAAGTCTTTGTTAGAAGTGTGACTAAGTGGACTTAGGGGGTATAGTTTAGAAGGACAGTGGCTCTGGAGTCAGATGTCAGGTCCGACACTGCTAGGTTTGCCTGTCTCCTCATTAGATAGATGGTTGACACTGGGAAAATTATTTAACTCATCTGAGCTTAGGTTTCTCTACTGGATAAATTAGATTATAACTACCACTCAGAATTGTTGTGAAGAATATGTCAGATAATGACTGTGAAGTACCTGGCATTGAGTCAGGTACACATATTAGAGGCTTCCTAAATATTAGTTCTCATGAATCCTAATTGTTAGTTGTGGAGTCATGTTATGGGAAAAGGGAGTGTCTAAAAATGGCTTGAATCTGGTATGTATTTCCCAAGTACCTGTAAGTAGTTGTGAATATATTTAAAGCACGAGTCTTGTGCTCGGCGTGTGTAGGCCTTAATAAATGTCCAAGCCTTCCTGCTTTTGATCATCAAACTTACATTCTGGGTGTCAACTGGGGTAGTTCTGTGGGCACGACAGAAAAAGGAAGAAGTCAGCAGCTGAGGTAGGGGTGGTTCACAGTCCTGCTTGTGGTTTAACAGGGACTGCATTTATGAAAATGGCAATTGAGTGTAGGGCGGTTGGGACTTGGGGCTGTGCCAGCAAGTGTGGTATTTCCATTTACATCCTCAGAGCAAGTACAATTTCACCATTATTCCATTGAGGCTCTCCTTGCCAAGAAAAACCCATTGTAAATTTTTGGTTTAAAGATTCTACACTTTTAGGGAGTTGTAGTTTTGCTGCTTTCATATTTTCTTGACACCACACATTTTGAGCCCCACTGGCTAACCTTATAAATAATATACAAATGTTATAAAAACCTGAACCACATCATTTGTTTTCCTATGTTCCTTATAGGAAATAGCGATGCTTCTGCCCTGCTAATTCCCCTGGGTTTCTGCTCAGGCAGTTTGGAGTAAGAAAGTGAAAGTGAGAAAGAATATAGGCTGTCAGCAAAAGATCACAGCTGTATTCACAAAAGCACTTTGTGGATCGTGTTGAGCTGGGCAGGAGAGAAAAGTCTGCGGCTGGCAGGGTATCTGTGTGACGTGGACCCATTGTGTGGATGGGCCCCTCCTGCTGCACCAGTGGCCAGCTCCCAGCCAGGCCACCTGGGTAAGGGGCCTCTGAAGCAGACAGCCCTGCACAGTCTGGAGCTGCTCTAACTCAGTGTACTGAATAGGACTCCAAAGAATAGGAACTGTGTTCCCTTTGTCACCTGCAGCCCTGCTTTCAGCCTGCACAGTGAATGTGCACTTGGGGGCTGAATTGGCACTTGGAAAAATCTGCAGGAACTTTTTGTGTACACAGTGTGTGCCCAGCAGCATGGGGGAGAGGAGCATGCACTCTAGAGATGTCTGGGACCTGGGTGCTTGCAGAGGAGGGGCTGCCTTCTTTATGCTGCAGGGTTTGCCAAGAATGTGCTGCCCTTGACAGTGTTGTGGCAAACAGAAAAGCATTCATGGCATCTTAATGAAAGGCAGCAGTTCCTTTTTTCAAGAATAATAGACATTCTTTTCTTAAGCTAGTTCCCATTTTAGAGATGAAGAGAGAAGCCAATTATTTTTCAGTTTAAATATATTTTTTAAAATAGTGACACCTCAGTTGTGAATTACCCTGGCTTTGCCATAAAGGCATTATACAACCATTACAACTTCTGACTTGGTTTTAAGCTGCCACCTTGTAGAATAATCAAATAGTATGCTAAACCATGATAAGGCATCAAAGATTTTCAAATCCTATCTGTGTAGCCAATTTGCCTTCCTCTGTGGCTAGAAAAATGGATATGTTTTCTGAAAGAGAATGGGTCTATGTTCCTTTACTTTACATCTTGCACATTGTCTAAATACTTCTTTTTATTGAAATTGGGGATTTTTCTTCCCTGGACTTGATAAGGATATATATATATATATATATATAATTAAGAGAGAGTTTGATAAGGTAGAAAGTTGTCAGATTGAAAGGCTTGAGGTATTTGAAGCACCAATCTAAAAGTCATCTTTGGAGTGATAGATCTTTGAAAGAGACAAGATCAGGATAAGTCATGTTTAGTATGTTGGAGGAAATGCTTTGCTCTGTTTTGCATCTTCTCCAGACCTCTTTACAACCATTTTCAAAAAAATGCTTAAATGAAACTTAGGATAATGACCTACACATTTCAGTTGTGCGTATGTTTTACCTGTAAATGGTGAGAGACAACAGAGCCATCTCTGACTACTTTTACACTATTTATTCTAAGAAGCCTCTATCAATAAATGACTACCTGGTGGAAGCCCTAATTTGTGTTTGGACTTGGGTGACTGTTGATCTGAATCTAGGCAATAAAGGTCGTGTTATCTGCTGCACAGTTTCCTAGTGGCAAGACAGGCCAAGCCTTTTGCCTGAAATCCAAGTACTACAGTGGCTAGAAATGATGCCTAGGTTTGGATATGTAGAGCTTCAGTTTCTTAGCAAAGCTGTTAATTATGGGGAGACTTGTATCTTGGGTCTAAACCTTACTGACAGCCAAAAGTTTATTTCCTAATAATTTCTAAAATGGAGGGAGGAAACTTTTTTTTTTTTTTTTGAGCATCCATGTTTTAGACCTGGCACTGAGTACTTCAACATATATCAATTCATTTAAATTCCACAGGTTATTCTACCAGCCCCTTGAAATTAAAATATTCACTCACATTCTGCCCTTCCCAGACATAATATAAGAATATTAGCAGATTAAATTAATTGGGGTTAGTACTTTCTTTTCTGTGTTAAACTCAGTTATTCTGGCTAAGATCAGATTTTTGGCTAGAACTGAAACTTATTTGGAGTGTTGTAGGTTGAGGGCTGGAAGTTGCTTCTTCACACAAGTTGCTTCTCCAAGTTGTTGGTATGCTCTTAGGCCCGCTGTATGGCATTCACAGCTGTTGTCAGTTGTGTTTTCATGTTCCATCCTATCTAGTCTTAGAAGTTCCATGGTGCTAATCTTGGCTCCTTATAAAGGACTGACTTTTGACCCAATTGGCTAATAACTATAGTGTACTTTACAGTTTACCAAGAGTTTTCACTCATGTTTGCTCTTTATATCAAAATTACAAGATGGGTTTTATTAGCCCCATTCTTTTTATAGATAAAATAGGGGCCAGAGAAGTTATGAATAAGCTAAGGTCTATCCAGTTATTGAAAGAGCCAAGACTTTAGGCTGGGACATCTGAATCCAAATCCACTGTTGTTTATACTCTTTACTGCAGCTACCTTTCTGCTCAGTGCCATTTACCCATTCATTCAGCAGGTACTTGGTGACATAGGTGTTGAAGCCAGATTGCTAGGTCTCACTAGTTTTGTGACCTCTGTTACCTCTTGGAGCCTTAGTCACCTTCATCAGCAAAATGACAGTAATAGTACTTGTCTAGTAAGGTTGTTAGGGAGTGCTTAAAATAGTGCTTTGTATATAGCAAATACTCAATAAATATTTGCGATTCTCCCTCATCATGGGCTCACTTTGATCACTTAGTCACTGAAGAAACAAACCAGTAACAACACCGTGGTTATTGAGGATCACTTGTTCTGGTATGGGAAGCAAATATGAAAATAGAAAACTAACAATTGTAGAGTGGATTGATTATTAAAATGTAAGCAGGGTGCTGAGGAAGCTTAGCGGAAGGAACGTGTATGCTTTTAATTGTGGACAGTCCACCTTTCTAGCAGTTCATCCTCCTTATTGCTTCCACCCCCCCCCTTGGTAATATTTCTGTCTTTCTTATTCCTTGCTGAAGATAGCATTTAATGTGCTAGGTCTTATGAGCACTTTGTGTATACCCTCTGTGAAGAAGAAAAGAGAAGTAGAATATGTTGGCTGAGGAAAACTAGTGGTCATTTGGGGTTAGAAGACCTGTATATAACAATTGGAGGATTGGTGGACTGTTGAGGACAAAATAGATTCCCATGCTCTGGTGTTTGCGCCACAGGTAATCAGACATGAATGGCTTCCTGTGGATTGCTGAGGAAGGTGGAATTTATGGGGGAAGAAGGCCATGAATTGGACTGAGGATTTGGAATCAGAGCAGCAAAAGAGTTGAGAGACTGGGCAGAAGTGGAGTTATGAGCTTCAAACTAGGACCTGGCCTGGCAGGTAGGATAGCCCTGCCTGGAAATGTGGGTAGTCCAGGAGGCAGGTGCTGCTCTTCTGCATGAGAACCTGCCTCTGGACTCCAACAATATACATAGCTTATCCACACCCTCCATAAAGCCCACTAATAATATCTTTGTGTTCATTGTGATATTTGTGCTCATTTTACAGGAGATAAAACCTAGAGAGATCCACAGCATGGGACACTAGGTCTGAATGTGTCTGTGAGCTGCAACCTAGCTGCAGCCCCTTTGTTTGTGAGCTGTTTTCCTGCATTTAAATGCCATTTACATAAGGAGCTGTCAGAGTTGACTTGGCCCATGATTATTCCTTGATGTATGTTGAAAAAAAGAGAAGAAAAGAAAACCCTGGCTAATGAGGAGCTGGTTCCTTTTTTCCATTGATGACAGCTTCCTTTCTGATCTGATGGTCCGTCAGAAACTAAGGTGGTATGTGACTGTGGGGTTATGTCCCCGCTGAAGCCGTCTTTCCCTCAGAGTTGTAATTGATGGGGAGACCTGTCACTTGTTATGCTGATGCTGTGCAGATTTTTGTGCAGCTGCCAGCCAAGAGAGTTTTAGGACAGCATCTGATTGGGTGCAGGTTGTGGCAAAAGCGATAATAAATAGAGAGCTGGTGAGGGTAGATTTTGATTGACCCAAGATTGTATATTATTAAACTGAGTCTGCATGTACTTGTCAGTTTATGAAGAACCAGACCCATAATCCAACTTTAGGACTTTGGCAGTTTGGGTTTATTAAATGTGCTTTATATCACTATTAATATTGAGGAGCAGAGAGGAATATCTGTAATCTTTTAATCTATGCAATAATGGTTTGGAGGGAGATTACCAGATACATTGGACTATTGTTTGTCTGTAATTGTATTCAGAACTCTTCGAAGCATTGATTTGTTTCTGGCGTACTGATTTGGTTCAACAGTCTCATAAAGCTCTTTTATAGTCCTCTTTGCTTTGTATTTTCCCAAAATAATTGGAGAATAATAATAATGTGGCTGGCGATAAAGAAGAGAAAGTAGTAAGATTGAAAGCAAATTTCTAGCTGAGTGGATAGCCATAAACATCTTCTGTGCTCATAAACACTTGGGGCTATGACCTTTGTGTTTATAAGATATTTATTGCCTCATGGACTCTCTGCTTGGGGGTTATCCCTTCAGTGCCTTGTAAAATTTGATTGTATTTAGTAAGTAGATTCTGAATTTTTGTTGAGTAGGGAAAAAGTGTACCTCACCTTAGTTTTCCTTGGAACAACCAGTCTGCCAACAGGAGCAGATCCTACCAAGGACAGAAACTGAGAGCTTGGCTGTGCTTGAGTTTGTGAAAAGGTACAATGGGACTAAGCAAGGGCACCTTTTGTACTTAAGTAGCTTTTAATGGAAATGACTTTAGAATGGAAGGAAGTAGGGCAACACATTGAATAAACCCAAGCAGTGATGATGGGTTTTCCTTTTCAAGTAGAAATGAAAATTTTGATCCAAATCAAGGAAACTTTCTTGACATTGTTGCCACCTTATCACCTTTCTTGCCATTTCCAAAACAGGCCTGAAGAAAGGAGCCAGAGAAATGGTCTCCAAGTTCAGTTTCATGGACTTTAATAAGCAGGTATGATTAAGTGATGTAAAGGCACAGTCTTCCATCTTGAGAAGTTCTTTAGACATTTCTTCAGGAAATTCTAGGCACTCTGTCAACCTGTGTCTTCCTCCTGATTGCTGTTGCTTAATTATTCTTGAAGGAAACAATAGGATCCCTGTGAACTGATGACAAGTATGCTGGGCTGCCTGTGTAAACTATTGGCTGGTTGGTTCATGGTGCACACAATGGGTAGGAGGCATATGGAGGAACTTCTAGGAAATGGGTTATCTTTAGAAAGCTTTATTATAACTGAACTAGCTTTATTATAACTAAAGTATGAGCCAGTCTTGTAGTGTATAGGACCCATATTTATCAAAGGAAGCTATTCTACCTAAGACTTAGTTTCTTGTCCTATCAGGTTAATTGCTGCCGCATATCATGGGATTTATGAGGTGTGCTTCTCTCTGCCTTGCTTCAGTCAGATAGCTACTGCCTGGAAGTCATATACAAGGATTGATAAAGAGCTGCTCCTACAGTGGCAGTCCACAATGGACTTATTGTAAGTAGAGAGAAGCCCCATTGCACTGACAGGAGGGAAAATGGGACAAAAAGGCCATCAGTCAATCAGCAGAGATATTTATTGAACACTTACTCTGTGTCCAGCTTTGTGAAGTACTAAAGAAGAGTTCCAGACTCCAGAGGTATATTCCATCCAGTTGGGGAAAGAGAAGTTTAGGTCAGTGGTTCTCTAAGTGTGGTCCCCAGACAAGTAGCATCCTCATCCTCTGGGAATTTGTTAGAGTTGCAAATTCTTAGGCATTACCCCATGCTAGAGGGTGGGGCTAGCAATATATTTCATAAACTCTGCAATTCAGATTATGCTAAAGTTCTTGACAGCTGCTTCTTTAGGTTGATCACTTGTAGGGAATAACAGTAAACAAGGCACATAGCATTAGGGCTGCTTGTAGGGCACAGACAAGGAGAGATTAAGGGATTCTTCAGCAGGATGCTAAACTGAGCTGTCAATCATGTGGGAAAGGGGTCAAAGGTAGAGTAGTGGGCCATCAAGGCAGCATTTCCTGGGGTGAGGAGTGATAAGCCAAATTTTGAGGAATGAATAGGAACAAAAGAGATAATACCGTGTTTCCCCCGAAAATAAGACAGGGTCTTATATTTATTTTTCTTAAGAAGACACCCTAGGGCTTATTTTCAGGGGATGTGTTATTTTCCCCTCAAAGCCTCAGCTTGCAGCATGCACAGGATGGCCAGGACCTGACAGGGGGAGCCGACCTTGTTGGTGGGGCTGCCTGCACCTTTCTGGTCACCTCTGGGATAGTAGCTGTCACGACAGGGCAGATGAGAAGGGCTGCTTGTCTTCTTTACCGCTCTGCGACAAAATGCATGGGTTGTACAGATACTCTGCGTAGCCACGCCCATCACTAGGTTTTATATTCGGGGTAGGGCTTATATTGTGCAAATGCTTAGAAATCCTGCCAGGGCTTATTTTGGGGTAGGTCTTATTTTTGGGGAAACACGGTAGCATGAAGGAGTACAGATGTGATGGTGAGAGTTCCTTCGAAAGCTTTTAATCAAGTATAGAGAGAACACAAACTCTAGCTAAGAAAAATTAATGTAAAATCAGGTATAGAATTTAGGCAGTTTGTGAAGAAGAAAAAGTATTTCTCACGAGTTAGATTCTAGTGTGATATCATCTCTTTTATCACCTCTGGCAGAGGTGCAGTTGATTGGGGGCGGGGATACTTGTACCTGGAGAAGCTTAATAAAGTGAAGCTCTCAAGGAGTGTTTCATTTGCTTAAGGCTACTGCTTTTAAAGTGGGAAGCACTCGTGAAAGATAAGTGTTTAAAAAGCGATTAGCTGCCCAGCATAGATTTGGTATCCAGCATATGTAAAGTGCTGTATGTGTCCTGGAGAGAGGGCTCTGAGATCTAACTTGTGAGTGGGGGTTGGATCCAGAGGAGTAGGGTTGTGAGGGTTGTGTGTTTACATTTGAGTCTAGTAAGTTTTTGTTTTCTTTTGAAGGCAGAGGAGAGCCACAGAATGTTATTGAGCAAGGAAGTAACAAGATTAGATTTTGAATTTCATCATTCTAATTAAGGGTTGTCAGTGACTGGTGGGAAGTAGAAGGATTAGGAAGCTGTTCTAGTCATAATAGTGAGAGGGTATGAACTAGTGCAGTTTTACAAAATTGGTGGTATAGGCAGCAATAGTGTCATGGTGGTTAAAGGTGGAGGGGAAGAAGAAACATTTGACAGTTCACTGTGGACCAGCCACTGTACTGGCGTCTATCATGGGCAGTTTAGTAAAAACCTTATGATTTCATTGGTAGAGCTTAGCCATCACCATTTTAGTGATATGGGGATTGATTTTTACATAATGTGTAAAAGGTATGTAGCTAGGAAGTGTATATGCAAAATTTGACTTTGTCTGCTTGCACAGCCTATACCTTTTCTGGTAAACTTTGGAAAATAGAATGATACATTTTGTTTATATTTGGACAATTGTTGATTTTGGCAGACGTCTTGACTGCTGGGTAGAGGTGTTAAGAGAAAGGGAAATAGCAATTAGGACATAAAGTTCATTTGGTGAAACTATATCTGGAAGAGTTTAAAAGTTTCAGCACAGTACAGATAGAATCTTGCCCCCACCCGAAGGAGTGGAGGAACAAAACATAGACTGTGCTGTTTTCTTTGTTGGCCAATGATCCAGAAATCAGTCGAGAGTGGAGTCTTTAATCCAAGAATCCCTTGAATCCTGGTCCCATGAGAACAAATATATGGCTGTTACTCCTATTGTGCTTTGGTGCTGAAGGCTGCAAATATAGAAATAAACATGGAGGTTTTCAAGGCCCTATTTATTCAACCTGTTTACCACCGAGGCCATTCTTCAAAGGAAAAAAATAAACCCAAAATGGAAGACTAGGGAGAAGAAAAGAGCAAAGGGTACAGCTAAACTGGGGACTTGAGTTATTTAGTCTAAGCTATTTTTTTTTTTTAATTTCTACTTCCTAGCAAGCATATTGATACTTGGTGATATTGAGATAGGCAGAACCATAAAAAAAAGAAAAAACAAACAAAAAAAACTAAGTCATTCTATCTTCATACCCGAATCTCCTTTGAGCAACCTCTCTGTCCTCCCTTTTTTGCCTTATCTCACACCTCCTTAGGTATGATGTGCTGCTATATCTGCCTGGCTCCCTTCTCCTGAGTGGAAGCTGCAGATATACTGTTGGATGTTAGGTTACACCTGGAAATTAGATTGTGTAGGACAGTAGTTGCCTATAAGTGGGATAAGAATGCATGTCTCATTAAGTCTGACCTCTATTCAGTGTAGATTGTCATAGAAGCATGGGGAATTTGTTTAGGTAAGGAGCCCTTGAGAGGGGCCTTTTT